ATTGATCAGGGATGTCTGTTTTGAGCACAAATGTCTAAAATGAGCAGATATGTAAGTTCTAATATTGATCAGGGATGTCTGTATTGAGCATAAATGTCTCAAATGAGCAGATATGTAAGCTTTAACATTGAGCAGGGAAGTCTGTATTGAGCACAAATGTCTAAAATGAGCAGATATGTAAGTTCTAATATTGATCAGGGATGTCTGTATTGAGCACAAATGTCTAAAATGAGCAGATATATAAGTTCTAATATTGATCAGGGATGTCTGTATTGAGCACAAATGTCTAAAATGATTAGATATGTAAGTTCTAACATTGAGCAGGGATGTCTGTATTGAACACAGATTTCTAAAATAATCAGATATGTAAGCTTTAACATTGAGCAGCAATTTCTGTATTGAGCACAAATGTCTAAAATGATTAGATATGTAAGTTCTAACATTGAGCAGGGATGTCTGTATTGAACACAGATTTCTAAAATAATCAGATATGTAAGCTTTAACATTGAGCAGCAATTTCTGTATTGAGCACAAATGTCTAAAATGAGCAGATATGTAAGTTCTAATATTGATCAGGGATGTCTATTTTGAGCACAAATGTCTAAAATGAGCAGATATGTAAGTTCTAATATTCATCAGGGATGTCTGTATTGAGCACAGATGTCTAAAATAATCAGATATGTAAGCTTTAACATTGAGCAGCAATTTCTGTATTGAGCACAGATGTCTTAAATAAGCGGATATGTAATATTTGAAAAAGAAAATATTTATCAAAGTCAAACAAGACCTAAGAAACTAACAAGAAACCTTTAAATTTAACAAAGTTATAAATGGCCTGTATATGTCAGGAATGAAGCCACCTTGCTGTTTATGCCTATATCCAGTACAACCCTTAAAAGCTTCACACATTTTTAACCATGATACTAAAACCCAAGATGTCACCAAATTTTGGATGTATGACCATCGTCATACAATACTTAGAACCTACTATAGTGGACACTTCTGAAAGTGATGCCTATTAATGGTTCAATTTGTCCTGGTTACAGCCCACAGAGACCAATAGAGATTACACAAGCCAGACAGTGGGTCGCAAAACCAGAATCCAGGGAGTGGAATCATGTGGCAGAGAAAGGTCAGAGAAACCAATCAGGATCATACTCACAGGTAATGTGTCTAATAACCTACAATGTACACAGCTCAGGTGATGAGCCCACAGCTTTGAGGGGGGTGTCTACCCAGTCATCAGACACTGTACATGTGTTGATAGGACAGCTCAGGTGGTGTGCCCACAGCTGTGTCTACCCAGTCGTCAGGCACTGTACATGTGTTGATAGGACAACTCAGGTGGTGTGCCCACAGCTTTGAGGGGGGTGTCTACCCAGTCATCAGGCACTGTACATGTGTTGATAGGACAGCTCAGGTGGTGTGCCCACAGCTGTGTCTACCCAGTCCTCATATGATGTGTTAACCCTGTCCTAAGGTGATGATGTGTCTACTCAGTCCTCAGGTAATGTGTTTACCCTGTCCTAAGGTGATGCGTCTACCCAGTCCTCAGGTGATGTGGTCTACCCAATCTTAGCTCAATGATGAATCATCTAAACCTGTCTGATGCTATGAACAATGCTGGTTGTTTGGTAAATTAGTTGTCATAATAGCTAAGCTAATAATTATGATAATTGTTTTGTTTTTATTTGATTCACTACCATTGTTGAAGCTTATATGACATTCAATCCCAGTGCATGAAATCATTAAGTTTTGTATCCCGTACACTTGTTAATATTACAACAGTTCTCAATAAACACAAATCATTACCACATGGAGCAAGAGATATAAGCTGTCTTACAGATGTTGTTTTCTGTAACCTAAACATGGAAAGACTGCTTTTCATCTTTATCTTATACAAAATGCTGTACGGTCAATAGCGAGGTTTTTTTATGGTTGAATGTCAACCTAAAAATGATGTAGGTCAGAGTTCAACTTCAAAATAAATGATAAAGGCATATCTCAATCTTCATAGCAGCTACTACAGCCTGACAAAATACTAAAAAGACACTTCAGGGAAAACCTCAAAGCATTTAATTAAATTTGAATGAAAAGTACTGAAAAATCTATATTACACATGGCAAGGGAGAAAAGCGTTTGCCATTTCTATTCCACATGGTACAGAGCCTGAGATAATAGTGTTACAGTATCGGGACTATTGAGGCTAGTGGGCAACAGACAAGCGTTGAAACACTTGAGCTGTCAAAAACAATTCTCCTTCCTCTAAATAGTTTACATACAGTCTGCAGACCTTTTCCCTCACAATATCAGCAATCATCTCATTCTTGTTCCCTAGCTATGTTATACTCTTAAGCTTGTAGTCCATCGATCAGTGAAATGATGGGTTTGAGTTTATGCTGAGATACTGGAATGTTTTCGATATTTGAAGTGACTGTCTGCAAGTTTGAAGGGTTTCACTATGTCAAATTATATGTCGACTCATTTCCTTCAATTTGATTATTTAAAAAAAACTTTATCAAGACTACATGTATGAAAATTTTCTATGAAAATTAAAAGTTAACATTATTTTTTGTTTAGCATATATGATTTATTAGCAATAAATAAATTAAGAAATGACAAAAGATCAATTAGTGCAGACTTGATCACGTATGCTGATGGCCAATGAGATATGCAAAGTATTTATCTACTGAAAACATGATACAGTTGATAAAGAGTTAACAGAAACTAAAGCACCATTAATGTAACAGCGAGGAATTATGAGATTATGTAATGTATTCAAAAATAGTTACACATCAAAACATCCCACGTGAGCCATGACTCTACCAGTCTACATACTGGAAACCTTTTAACTCTCATCGCCCAAAAACACATTGAATCTTTACAGGATGGAGCTGGGAACTGGTTTAGCAATTAACCTGATTGCAAATGCTAGAAAACTCAGACATTTGTAAATTGTCTTGAAGAAGGGTGAAAAAAGTGTAGCTATGTAACTGATAATTATGTCCTGTTAAAGAGCGATGCCTGGAAGAGGATCGCTCGCAAATGTACGGCATGAGAGCGGATTATCCTCCTCTGTGCTATTACACACGCAATTCAATAAAGACAGAATCGTTTCCTCCCCGTAAATAGGATGATCTGTGCTACTGTTTTCACCACATATTTTGTACAGCACATCACAACTATAGTAAGCACACTGGCCAACCTGCCACAATTGTGTACAGTAGCTATTTCACCATCTCTGTGGCACTACCTTATCTATAGCGGTGGAGGAGCCAGGAATGTAGAGGGGAAAGGCCAGCATACAGACACAGATAATAGAGATGAAGAAACTTACTGCAACACCAATACTTTTATTTTATAGCAAAAGCAAAGAAAACAAGCACCTACCTTTCATCCATCCAGAAAATGTAACGTCTCAAATTGTATTACGTACATCTCCTTACATTTCCGTTGGCGATATTTTGAAGAAATGCATGTGTATGTAAACAGGTAGTAATAAACACTTTGTATTAATGTTGCGACTTCCTCAAGGTATCGCAAGCACCAAGGTCTCTCGTGTTCTCACCACACAGCATTAACCTCACGGCATGCGCGTGAAATGCATGTGCTTTGGTGTGATGTATAGCCTGGTCTGTAGACTGGGCTTCCGCCTCCTAGCCCTCTACACAGCACTATGTGACAACCTACTGTTGGTGATTGACACAGCAAGAAAAAGGCATCTGCATGCGAGCCGGGGCAGACACACACTGCTGTCGGGACTGGGGGCTGTATCACTACTCTTAACTGATCAATATATTGATATGCCTTACTATTAAATAATCAGCTAATCCCTTGTGGTTTGCCTGAGATTGGTCTCTACATAGCACTGGAGAAAGATTTAAATACTTAGGGGAAATCCACACTGACAATCTAGTCAAAAGTCACAACCCCACCACCATAAATACACCCAATAGCATGACATCAACATGTGTCTGTAACAACCAAGTCTGTGATGATGAGCAATAAAGTGACAATCTTTTCAGTGAGGTCCTGCCCAGACCTTATTAGATGTTCTATAAACGACCTGTCTGGACAGTCCAAAAACATAGTTCAGCTTCAAACCTTACACATATAGGACAGAGATTCCTTACACTGACCAGTCAATACAAATAGACAGAGATACCTTACACTGACCAGTCTATACAGGGTGACAGAGATAACTTACACTGACCAGTCTATACAGAGAGACAGAGATACCTTACACTGACCAGTCTATACAGGGAGCTAGACAGCGATACTTTACACTTACCAGTCTAAACATTGTGACAGAGAAACCTTACACTGACCAGTCTATACAGAGAGACAGAGATACCTTACACTGACCAGTCTATACAGGGAGCTAGACAGCGATACTTTACACTTACCAGTCTAAACATTGTGACAGAGAAACCTTACACTGACCAGTCAAAACAGGGTGACAGAGAAACCTTACACTGACCAGCCTAAACAGGGTGACAGAGAAACCTTACACTGACCAGTCTATACAGGGAGATAGACAGCGATACTTTACACTTACCAGTCTAAACATGGGGACAGAGAAACCTTACACTGACCAGTCTATACAGAGAGACAGAGATTCCTTACACTGACCAGTCTATACAGAGAGACAGAGAAACCTTACACTGACCAGTCTATACAGAGAGACAGAGAAACCTTACACTGACCAGTCTATACAGGGAGCTAGACAGCAATACTTTACACTTACCAGTCTAAACATTGTGAAAGAGAAACCTTACACTGACCAGTCTATACAGGGAGACAGGGATACCGTTTAATGACCAGTCTATACCGGGTGACAGAGATACATTACACGGACCAGTCTATACAGGGCGACAGAGATACCGTTTAATGACAAGTATATACAGAGTGACAGAGATACATTACACGGACCAGTCTAAACATGGTGACAGAGAAACCTTACACTGACCAGTCTATACAGGGTGACAGAGATGCCTTACACTGACCAGTCTATACAGGGAGACAGAGATACCGTTTAATGACCAGTCTATACAGGGTGACAGAGATACATTACACTGACCAGTCCATACAGGGAGACAGAGATACATTACACTGACCAGTCTATACAGGGAGACAGAGATACCGTTTAATGACCAGTTTACACTCCTGCCTTTTCTATATCTGGTCCCCTGATAAATCACTTTAGCAAGGACCTGTTACCATAAACAATGAGGTATATAATTCAGTTGATTAACAGTCCTTCAAGAATTATTGAAAACATAGTTGTATGACTTTTGAACTAGACTGGAGTCGTTGGAAACCTTTTTCTAAGATCTTTGGACAAGCCTTTCTGTATAGGATAAATCTCGAGCAAACGTTGGTTAAGTGATTTGGAAGCACAGGGTGCTTCCAAATCACTTACGGTAAACCTCCGGTCAGTTCGAATTGGCGGATAGTTCGAACACGTATTTTTTTCAATAAAAACAATAATTTTCTAGCTAGTGATAGTTCAAACTCTGATTGACCCTATTTCGGATAGTCTGAACTTGTCAAATGAAAACGTAAAGTAAGAATTTTTTTCGGCAAACTCCATTGAAAGCTCGCGGCGATCGGCCCCGGAAAAATGCCAATACTTTGATCAACAGACACGTTTAGGGTAATGGGTTGTACATTGTATGTGTGAGCATTGCAGTACAGCTGTGACAGACAAACCATAAATATATGTCACAGATTTTAGCGTTGATTCATTTTTTACATTGTTTGAAAAATACATCGTGCACGAGACAGCCTATTTCAACTTAGGCCCCGACAATGTATAAATAACATGCGATCAGTACAAACTGATGTCACGCTGTACGGCTGTACGCTAAGAAATCACCTGTGTGTTGTCAAATACAGTGTTAACTAAGCATTTTGATTATTTTATTGCGACCAGACATCCCTTAATTATTGCCAATCAAGGTATTACCTGTAAACGTGTGCCCTCACACCAGGTAGGGCAGGACACGATGTCGCGGTAGGAATCGGCCGCCCAGCCATGGTGAGTGACGTGATTAGCATTCATGTCAAAGCCCAAACAATCCACAGGTGTCCCAATTAGCGATGGGTAATTTTGAAGGTGTCAAATAAGTTTATTAGGACTATATCACTTATAATTTAAAGCAGACATGTTGATGTTCTGACCTAATTTTACTAACATATAGACCTATATTTACTGTACAGTAGCGCTTTGTAAACGCAACAGGTTATGTAGACTATGTTTTCAATTTATTAAACGGACCATTCATTACGAAATAACATATACAATAGTTTCTGATTCAAATAAAACCTAACCACGCAGAGACTCAATATTTAGGTCTCTGATACAAGCTATAGCTATATATAGGTAGTCTTAACTTTTGTGTCACAAATGAAACGTGTACTGTTTCGGGGCCTACACAAGGGCCTCTGCTTCGCAACAACGATCATAATTATCACGAAATGAAGAAAGTTTAATGATCAATTAGCATTGAATTAAATAATATACTATCATTTTACCCATTTATAAATTAAGATGCCAGGCCGTCGTTGTTACGTATCGACCTTACATTGGATATATAGAGGTATACTCCGGTGAAGAAAATATGTTGGGTATATGATTGTGACTTGATTTGCACTTTGCCGAAATTTTTGCCGATAGTTCGAACTCACGCTTATTTTCTGAAGCATAATTTTGTATAATCCGAACAGGTTCATCAATATTTATTTAATTTTGTTCGAACTGACCGAAGGTTTACCGTAACCAACGTTTGCGAGGGATTTATCCTACTTGAAAACTTTCATATCCCAATTGGACCCCTAAACCTGGTATAGGTGGACAGTTGGATGATCAGTGAATGGAGTTGTTTACCTGTGTTGTCCACACCTGTAAAATGCACTTACTGACACAAACACATATAACCCCAAGGCATTAGTAAATGCCGATGGTATCCAAATGCGATCCAAATGGTATTGATATGAGCTGAGGTGTTCCGAGTACAAAAGTGTACTACTGCCAAGATGTTCAGTTAAGCTGATGATGTTTTTATTACGCAATCGACATTTACTAGTAAACGACCAGAATCCGATAGAGAGGTTGTACGAAGCCGAGGTTCTGGAACAACTGATATGTGAAAAAACCGGACATCGTTCGGATGCGGTCAGCACGTACAAACGCACCGGTGCAGAACAGGAGCAAGTAGCCTGCTCTGTTATACAAGGCACGAAATGGGAAACGTCTGGTCACAGTGAGGGCACAGGTATCGGTGGCAATAGCAATTTGTGCATCAAAATTCGTAAAGGGGATGTGTTGGTGGAAATCCCTGTTTGAATATATATTGTGAAATACGTAAAGCGGATGTGTTTGTGAAAACTTGAAACTTCGGCTAAGTGCCTTATACATGTATATATTACAACGGCTGACTATCGTGTACCACCAGGTATTAAAGTTGGAATTAAAATTACATTTACTATCTTTCATATTTATTTGTAATCGTTTTCTTTGTTTATCTGTTTTTGTGTCTACAGACCCTATTCAACAGATGGGCATTCTGGGTACGTTTGATATGACCCTGTGTGACCTGTTGGATAAGTGGTGATCCATTCATTAGATATTCAACCGCTAGCCGTTGGATAGTATGAATAGGTCACTACTTATCCAACAGTCACTCAACTTATCCAACGCCTAGCGGTTGAATAGGTGAACTAGTAAACACAATAGGTGACGTAATCGAAAGTTTTTAATGGAGTGTTAAAAACCTGTTCCTAAGATCTTTGGACAAGCCTTTCTTGGAGTGTTAAAAACCTGTTCCTAAGATCTTTGGACAAGCCTTTCTTGGAGTATCAACAACTTATTTCTAAGATCTTTGAACAAGCCTTTCTTGGAGTGTTAAAAACTCATTTCTAAGATCTTTGTACAAGCCTTTCTCGGAGTGTTAAAAACTCATTTCTAAGATCTTTGTACAGGCTTTTCTTTGAGTGTTAAAACTTATTTCTAAGATCTTTGGACAAACCTTTCTTTGAGTGTTGAAAACTTATTTCTAAGATCTTTGGGCAAACCTTTCTTTGAGTGTTGAAACCCTATTTCTAAGATCTTTGGACAAACCTTTCTTTGAGTGTTAAAACCTTATTTCTAAGATCTTTGGACAAACCTTTCTTTGAGTGTTGAAAACTTATTTCTAAGATCTTTGGGCAAACCTTTCTTTGAGTGTTGAAACCCTATTTCTAAGATCTTTGGACAAACCTTTCTTTGAGTGTTAAAAACTTATTTCTAAGATCTTTGGACAAACCTTTCTTAGAGTGTTGAAACCCTATTTCTAAGATCTTTGGACAAACCTTTCTTGAAGTGTTGAAAACCTATTTTTAAGACATTTTGAATCATTCTTACTTAGATTGTTGAAACCCCATCACTGAAGACAGATGATAAACATTATTAGTTCTGCGAAACAGTCTGTAATAGGAGCTGTCTGGCATCTAATGAAAATGTATGTTGTCGACCATACTCGTTTATCATTTACCAGTGTTCGCATATATTTTGGACCAAGATTGTAACAGATTAAGTACACTCATCCTAACATACATCATCGACAGCTGTTTATGGTTTCATTATCTGCAATAGATAATTTACATAAATGACCTTACCTGGATCAGTGGACTACCAGCCTTTTATCAACGGTCTAGGAACTCAGCTTCTTATGTCATTTACAATCATCCCT